GTAAAACGGTAAAACGTAAACGTAAACGGTAACGGTAAGGTAGTACGTACGTACGTACGTACGTACGTACGTACGTACGTACGACGTAGAGAGAGAGAGAGAGAGAGAGAGAGAGAGAGAGAGAGGATCTATAAAAATCCCAACACAAATGGAAATAAATCTCAAAGGACTGGCAAGAATCCTAGAATTCCTATAATTGAGGGTTGGATTTGATTTCAGAAATGGTCTTTGGCAAAGAAAAGATTTCAAGGAAACATGAGCCAACAATAGAAAGAAGCAGAAAAATCACCAAAAAATGGTTCTAAAAAATATTCAAGATGACGTGTTGGCTCTAAAAATATTGGTGTAAGATAACGTGTTGACTCAATTGGAAACACCAGGTGCCCTGACTGGTTGGACTGGTCAAACACCTATTTCTACCAGTTCTGGACCTACACTAGTTTTGAGACTATACAGGACTGTCAAAGGGCCTGGTCAGCAGTTTGACCAGACTGACCAGCTGGTCCAGTCTGGTCCTAATAACTCTTATTTATGGTGTAACTTGTCATATATGCACCATCATCGAGGACATGCACTAAGCCATAAAACAACCAGCAGATTAAATAATAAAGGACAGAGGCATGATCTTTGTGCGCTTCTTATTTCTTGTTAAGATCTGCAGGTAAGCTACTTGGATTACAAGGCATATCTATTAAAATGCATGTCAAAAAAAGAAAGTAACATTTGTTGTGCTAACCTGTATGGTTCTTTACAAACTGATCGCACTTCTGCTTTCACAGTCATAAGGTCCAAAAACTTGTCTTCTTCCATCTTTTTCACTAAAATTTTCTTTGCCTGAAAGAGTTTAAGATAAATTATTGACGGAACCTACAAAACCAAGAAATCAAAATCATGTAATATGAGATTGACAAGACAAGCATTACCTCTTCCACTTCTTTTTCATGCTCTGTATAAAGCTCCTGAACACGTCTCCCTAGCTTAGCATATTCAAGTGGGTTTGTATACATAAATGACAGATTCTCTAGTTCTGACTGCCAAAAAGGGAATATATGCATATGACATTAGTGCAACAAAATGCATAGCATCTAAAGGGTAGAGAGCAAAAGTTATTTTAAAACAGCAATGCCAGCACACAAGCTCTTAATCTCTAGATTTTTAACATCTCGAATTTAGCAGAAAAGCTGCATGACTTATACAATATATGATAAATAACTTTATTGACCAATATTTTAAAATAAGAATGTGAAATACCTTGTCGCATATCGTAGATAGTTTTGCCACCATCGGAACCATGGCATCTAAGAAATACTTAAAATTAAATATAAGTTATTTCCTTTGACATCTCGTCTATTTAATAGATAATTATAGCATTATAAATTGTAAATGGAGAAAAAACTCAGTAAGGTTGTTGGTTGTTATTCTTATCTGTGGAATGGGAGTTAAGCATGGTCAGGTAGGGAATTAAGAGCTCAAAAAAAACACTTCAGTAGCTAATACGAACTTGCAACATTTTTGCCCCTTAAATGGTCATTTGCTCTATGGTCATTTTTGGCATTCTTAAATGGTTATTTTCTTTTTCTCTGGATATTTCATGAGGGCTCTGAATATCTAAAAATTATGGATTTCAAGGAAACATGCCACTCTTTGCACACATGACAGTGTATTCACAAAATTAAATGTCATAGAAAGCACATCCCATAAATCATGAAAACATGTATGTACGCATTAACATATACTCCATGGACATCACAAAATTTATCTTGAAGATTGATAAGATCATATGCTTCAATGAAATAAACAATTATTTTTATACCTTGATCTGATACATGCCTAGTAGCTTTGCAAGGGGTGCAAAGACCTGCAGTGTCTCCGATGCAATGCTGTACTGCAATGTGAAATAAACGAAAAGGCCGAATTGTAAAATGGTATCACCTTTCATTGTTATAGTAAAATGGCCACAGTATGAAAGGATAAAACATGCTATAAAATCAACTGTACCTGTTTATGCAGAGGCATGTGAGAAAGGGTACGCATATTGTGTAACCTGTCAGCCAATTTGACGATAATAACACGTACCTAGACAATGAACAGGCAACAAATCTCATTCCTCGTAAGAAATCTCATTACGAGGAATACAAATCTCATTCCTCGTAAGAAATACACGTACCTAGACAATGAGCAGGCAACAAATATGCAAAAAAATGAGTGTGCGCATGCATGTGTATGCTTGGCTAGTAACTGTTCATTCAAGTGAAAAAACAATATTACCTCTTCTGTCATAGCTAAAAACATTTGTCTCAGATCCTCAGCCTTAACATCTTGCACAGACCTTTTTGTCTTTGTACACTGTAATTTACCCAGCTTGGATACCTACAGAATATCAACAGGGCATTGTGTATCTAGGTCAGATCAAATGGTTCTCCACATAATTATCAAGAAAGAAAAGTTATTTCATTTTAATCCATTAAATTTATGTACAAGTATACCTTTGTCTCTCCTTCCACAATATGACGTACAGTAAAGCCAAATTCCTCTTCAATTCTTTCAAATGTAACAACATTTGTATCTTCAACAGTGTCGTGTAACAAACCTGCCACGATAGACTCCCAATCCAATTCCTAGCCCCAGGAAAAAATAATAATCGGAGTTAGCAAGTATTATGCCAACAAGCAAAAGGACAAGACCAATCAACCCAGAGGGCCTTCATTCTTTGGTTTGCTATTTCAAAATAAAAATCATGTTTCCTGGAACATCACCACATACAAGTTCTCCAAGAATCCGAGCAACTTCAACTGGATGAATGATAAAGGGCTCTCCACTCCGCCTTTTCTGTCCATTATGAGCTTCAAAAGCCAGCTACATATACCCAAAATGCAAATTCAGAAGTGAAGCTTCCATGAGTACATTGACCTTAGTCATTTGTCATTCCATAAGCAAATTTATAGCCAAAACTTTAAGGAATTAAATAAATGAACACTCTTGAAAAGAAAACATGCCTAAGCCAAGCACCACACAATCCTGAAGACATCATACCTTCAGAGCACTATAGACCAATGCCAACTCAGCTGGAGGAAGATATGAAATAGTTGGTTTCAAATCCTGATATTACAAGCAAAGTGAATCCCAGACATACATGAATTCGTAAACAACAATGCCTCAGAAAATAGCATATTCATTTGAATAGAATAGTCATAATCATAAGGGATTCATGCATATAAGAAGTTAAATCCATAAATAAAGAAGTATAATGAACAGACATGAACACCTTAGTCTTGCATATGGTGTGTTTATTGAAATGATAAGTTTCAGCCAACTCAATAAGTTTTGCGCAATTAACGACGCGTTAGCATAATTTGGAATAACTAAAAAGTATATGCCTGCCTAAACGGAAAATCATCCTTAGGGCCTAGTGGGCGTTTCAACTGTAATAAAAAATCACAAATGGACTTATAACCTCCATGAAATGCGAGAAGTCCCAAAGTAATTCAGTCTGGTAAAAGTTATTTTTTAACTTTAATTGCCACAGCTTGATGTAACAGATGGATGGGTGCATCAGCCTGGATGGTGCCAGGGGGATTGGCCTGCTTAGTGAGGAACACCCTGCTCTTTATGACTGCAAAATTATTAAACAAAGCTAGAAGATGTTCCATTAAGTTAAGGAAGATACTACTTAGAATCGATAGTCAACATGAATTCATCAAATATCACAAATAGAAAGCTCAGTTTGCCGGGGGTCACATAAGCTTAAGCATCCATATTTAGTAATAAAAATAATATGCTTCAGGCAAGGAAGCTGAAAGTATTAAGAGCATTAAAGTAACAACTGCAACATGTAAATAAGTTTAAAAACATCCTATGTTACAGACAGAAGTTAAAACAAGGAGAAGATGAAGTTTGGTTGAAAACGGATCATACCTCCCACAATGAATCTGGAGAACTAGCATCGCAAGATTCTGAAGAAATAGAAGCCACACAGTTCAGTTTCCATCTTTTATTGACACTTGATTGTACACTTGATTTAAGAAACTCTTCAATGTAGGCCGAATGAACAACTCCCAAGTTCTCTTCACCACCCAAACAAGGGCCATCACAAGTCCAACCAGGCTACATTCACAAAAGAGCGAAAAAATTAAATGCATAATTTAGTTTAATATTAGAAGAGGCTGTAGCTGAGACAGGGTTAGATGCTAGGTGGATGGCACATTGATCTAACAAAAAAGAGTGCATAGCTATGGCATGGCCTATTTAATAAGGCCAATGTTCAAGCCAGTGAATAACAGTTTACTAATAGATTCACACTAAATAAAAAACACTGCATCATCCATATATTCAATGAGAATAGAAATCACAGCCCAGTGAATACAAGATGGCTGTCCAACATCAAAAATTCCACTACCTAACTAAACTTAGCAAATTGAGCTCCCATATCTTATGTATTCCATAGTTAGCCTTTAAAGATGGAAATGTCAAGGAAGCGGCTTCTCAGTTGGATTAATGAAGGACAGGTGGAAGTGTGGATGAGTCCTAACAGCACTAATTCAGGAGACATCCATGACGAGAAGTGCTATCTATATCCATCATTCCATTGTAACATGCTTTTATGGCAGTTACAGATAAAATGCACCTTGTTGAAGCAACTTGGGAAACCACCACAAAGGTCTATTCATGGTTTCCACAATATTCCTACAAAGCCTTGCCTTTGTAGTGTCAACCAAGAACTTGACCTTCCAATTAAATTCGCCCAAAGCACTTGTCCTATTCATGGAACAAGCACCCACATGAAGTTCTCAAGAGAGATAACCTCAGGCATAGTTTTTTGCCAACATGGATGAAAAAGATTTCGTAGAAATTACTTGAAGTTCCTATGCAGAATGTGATTTCGTAAATAGGCACACAAATCTTATGGGGCTCATCAAGTTGGTCGGGGAGGTATATTTGCCCCTCTCAATGAGCAGCACTCTAAGTTCACATTACATAAAGCTAATGTAGAAGGACCATTATGAAGTACAAAACCACACAACCAGTTTCTATAAAGCTGCCTTAAATTTCCCATATTCAGAAATGGGATCCATCTACTTAGTGGACTCCGAGGCGATAAAGCGAATTGATTGAGCCAAGAGTGACATAGATAAGCTTCTGCAAGCTATGGGATTTGAGTTTGATGGCCTGAAAGTGATATTAGGGAGCTATTTAGAAGAATGGCAGTTAGAAGAAGAGTTGCGGAGAGCTCATAAATATCTCTTGCGATGTCTTACAATAAGCATGAGAGCTCCTCTCAGCCTTCCCCTCCCCACTACCTCTTCTATCTCGGGTCTTCTATCCTAGATAAACCCCCAAAGCTATCACATAGCCCCCCACCCTCCCACAACATAAGTGTTCTGGTCTGGAATGTCAGGGGTCATGGTGACCCAAATAAGAAAATGGTGGTTCTTTGTCTGTCAAATTTATAGTCCAGATGTTTTGTGTATTATAGAAACAAAGCTAAACCTCTAAGCTTGTCATTGACCCACTGTGTCTAGGGCAGAAGGCTCTGCTAGTGGGGAGTCTTGCCGGCCCAGTGGACCTCAGGTGGTATCTCGGTCATCTGAGACCCAACCACCTTTGCAAAGGTACTGACCCACTGGGGGTCTTTTCTGCTACATGTTGGCTTTCCCCACCTATTAGACGACTTGGAATGGAAATGCGCCAAAATCTATTGCCTCAACTATCGGTCAGAGATGATTTTTGCCTAGATCCAGACATAGTGTCTTCCTTGCATCCTGCTTCATAGTGCATAGGAGGTGACTTTAATGTCACTAGATGCTTCCGAGACAATCGTTAACCAGGTCTAATCATGCTCCAAGCCCCACCTCACAAAACTTGGTAGATTTCTCATCCCCCTAGAGTGGGAATACCTTTTTGATGGTGCCCTAGACCTCTGCACAAGACCATCTTAAATTATAGCCTTATCTCTTTAGAAACTGAGTCTGCCCCTAGGGCCAGCACACAGACCCTTGTGATTTGAGCAAATGTGGCTTGAGGAGGCAGAGCTGCGTCTACTTGTACCCCAGGGCCGGGGAGTTTTCAGACTCGTGAAAAAGCTAAAACTGTTAAAATCCAAGCTTCACAGTGGATTTACCATCAGTTTTCATAATCATGTAGAGGAGGACCTTCTTTGCAAATTTCATAATTTGGACCCGAATGAGGAAGCGAAAGATCTTACTCCAGGAGAAAGGACAAGAAGAATGGTGGCTAAGGTCAAGTTTATAAGATCCTTATGCAAAAAGAGTTCTACTGGTTACAGCACTCAAGGGTCGAATAGTTGAAAGAGGGGCATTGAAACACGACGTTCTTCCATAAGATAGCCAACTATCATAGGAGATCAAATTCAATTCAAAATTATTGGTGGAGACTGTATGTTCATTGAACCAATACAAGTTATCAGAATCACCATGCAGTTCTTCCAGAAATTGTTATCCGCCCAAAATCATACCAGTCCTAGACTCAGAAATATCAAATTTAGGACATTGACCAGAAAGCAGGCAGCCTCTTTGATGTGGCTAACAGAAACTAGTGAGGTAATTGTTGAATCTGAACAGGATAAGACCCCTGGCCCTGATTTGCTCCGGGTGGCCTATTTAAATAAATTCTGTGATATATTTATCCCCAACTGTGTTGCCTTTTTTCTCAGAATTCTACCATAAGGGGGTCATGAACTGTGGAGTGAACTTCACTTGCGTATTACTGTTGCCAAAGATAAAAGAAGCAGTAGAGTGAAAGATTTCATACCTATTAACCTGCTTAATAGTGTATTAAATATCGTGTTTAAAGCGTTTGCTACCACGTTCACGGAGGTGCCAAATAGTGCCATCTCTCCTAATCAAGGTGTTTTCTTTAAGGAGCACAAATTCTCGATGGCGCACTAATTACACATGAATGAATTCATTCTAGGAATCAGTAAAGGTCTCCGGTCTGGTATTTAAATTAGTCTGGGAGAAAGACTACAAGCATGTTGATTGGAGTATCTTAGACCAAGTCCTAGATTTAACAGACTTTTGGCAAAAGTGGAGGGACTAGATCTCAGGTTGCATCTCATCTGTGTACTTCTCAATCTTGGTTAATGGGAGCCCCAAGGCCTTTTGCCCCTGACTCAAGGGGTCTCCATCAATATGACCCCTTATCCCCTTTCTGTTTGCCATAATAACTGAGGTCTTCAGCAGATCCATCTTGAACATGTACACCAAAATTTTGCTCAAGGATTCAAGGATTCAAGACATCAAGAAGGGGTCTCTGCGTTTCACACTTACAATATGCCGGTGGCACATGTGTTTTGTGATATCCATCCCCAGCAGGTGCACAACCTTTGGTTGTTCCTACGACGTTTTGAATTTCCACAGGATGGCAAAGACTAAACTATTGGGCATTGGGGTTAATGGAGCTATAGCATCTAATTTGGTAAAGAGGTCGGGATATAGTGTTAACACCTTGCTCAGAAAGTACCATTGCCTTCCTTTTTGCTTGGTAAACCGAGGAAACATCAACGTGGCAGACTGTTGGAAAGATTCAAACAAAGACTGCCTCTTGGAAAAGCCACGTCCTATCCTAGGGGAAGTAACACCGAATTAAAGCAACCCTCTCGAATATTAATCTGCCAGCTATCTCTCTTTAGGATGACAATGTCAATAGTCAACAGGCTGCAGTGCTTAAAAAGAAATTTTCTTTGGTTGGGGGAAAGTGGTGAGCATAAATCCCACCTAGGGAAATGGACAAGCCCTTGAGGTCTAGGGGTCTAAACATCAAGCCCCCAAGGAATATTAGTGTAACATGGATATTGACACGAGCCTCCATGTATATAAATGTCAAAAGCGTCTTGTACTTTAGTCTAAAAAGTTGATACATCCAGACATGTTCGTACCATTATTACTTATCAATAGAATATCATGTTTTTTAGTTTACATATACAATAATCTCCCTAACCATACCACATAAGAAGTGGATCAGAAGGAGGTAGGGTAGACAATGTTATTCCCAATGACATGAGTTTAAACCCTGCAACCCCTCCACAATTTTTTATTGTTGTTTATATAGCTAGAAGTCCACAAATGTCAACATATGTCGAGGTGTTGACATGTGGCAAGTGGCTACAAACAGCACCAATCAAAGGTGAAGTGTCACAGCAATACCGAGGACACGAATAGTTTTCGATGGGGAAAAGGGTTGTGGCACTTTGCCACCCAGAAGAGTCACCAATGGAGGCAGGTGATCCTACATCAACACGGCCTCAATTAGGCTGGTTGCCTAAGGGCTCAGTAATGCAAGGATACCAGGACATGGAAAGCCCTTCTCTCAACCTACCCCCTCTTTCCAGTCATATCTGTTTCTAGGCAAAATTTGGGAATTAAATCCGATCGCGAAAGGACCATTGGCGGGGAGCGACCAGCTTGGATCTCTAGTTATCAAGTCTTGTCATGGTGGCAGTCGATCAAAGATGTTGCATTTCAATGCTTAAGAACCCTTAGGTGGTTTTATGGTATGGGCTCCAAGATTTAGAAAGACTTTACCGACGTTGAAATCCCTAAGCTCGAGGGTTTGCTTTAGAGTTGCCGTGATACTCCTTTTGGTTGGTGCCCAATGTCAACACTTTGTGATGCGTCGTCACATGAGGACACCTGGCTATATAAAGAATAGTTAATAACTACGAAGGGGCTCTTTCGAGGTTTGAACTCTACTCAATTTGGAATATCGTCATCTACTCTATGACCTCCATATCCACTTCTTATGTGTACAAAAGAAAAATTATGTTATATAAACAAAAAAAACATAAAGGTTTATTTATAAAAGAATCATATGGATATGTCTAACCGTATCGGCTTTTCAGAACAAAGTACAAGACACCTTTGACACTTGTAGACACCTATACGTGTGCCAGCTACCATGTAACATTGTTTTACTAACCTCCCTTAACACCCAGTTTATTCCTGGCCATGGTAGGGACAGATTGGTGTGGCTTCCAACTACTTCGGGGCTCTTCAATGTAGCATCCATCTATGATGAGCTCTGACAAAATGGCTCAACCCTGGTGATTTTCAAAAAAGCCCACATAACCCCTGCACCCCCAAAGGTTCAAGTTTCCAATTTGTCAGTGGTTAACAAAAAGATCCACATCGTTGACTAGCTCCAAACGAGAGTTTTAGAGATCCCTAAACATTGTTTAATGTGCGAGGTTAGCAAGGAACCAATTGACTAGCTTTTACTCCACGGTTCAGTGGTTGGGAAATCTTAGAGCTCTATAGCTCTTTACACGTCCCATAAATTGCGTGAGGAAGATGATATATCGGTTTTCCTTGCCAAAAAGGGGAGGCAGGTCCCGTTGCATCTCTGGTCCAAAACCCACCACAAATTTTGACTATGAACACCTTATGTTTCTTATAGACCATTGTATTTTGGTCATCTTTGTACTCATAAATCTGTATATCTTTATTCATTAATATACTACAGGTAATTCCATCTTAAACCACCCGTTGGGGGGGGAAGGGGGGGAGAGGGAAGTGGGGAAGGCAGACAGTGAAAGAAGAAGAATTGAAAGGACAAAAGAGAAAGTTTGCATCACAGTGATCTCAAGGGCGTGGAGCGTATCAAGGAGGGGTTTCAGGGATATTCAGTGGTGGACCTCGAAACAAATTGAACTCTTGGGCATATAAGCCAAGACCAAGCAACTCGGACAAGTAGATCCATCCTCCTGAAGTTACAATGAAGATTAACTTTTATGGCAGTTCTCATGGAAATCCAGGGGGCCTGCAGTGATAGGTGGTCTACAGAGAAATTAGGAGGCGGGTGCAATCTCAACAATTCTCTGGCCCCATCCAAGCATGTGGCTTGAATGTGGCTGAAGCCAGGTCCGCATTACAAGGGCTTAAGATGTGTATCTCTTTTTAGTAAAGTCATCAACACTTATCAAAAATGGAAGATTTTAATCTTAGATTTAAAGTTCATGTTATTTATATCTCTTTTGTTTAAGCCATCAATCCTTTTCAAGATAAGAAAGTAAGGATGGCTTAAATGCAAATTATCAATACCTATCAAAATTTTAGTAATTGTTTGATTTCCATATTTGAAAGTCAAATACTTGCATCAAATTGCATTCCAAATATTATTTCCATGATTATCGACCACATCCGCAATGAGAACGAAGGCCTTGAAAGCCCATGTAAAATTCAAATTATTGAGATTGTACCATAGTTTCTAGCGATTGTACATATTATCATGAGCAAAACCCAGAATGCATATTATCAGCGATATTTTTTACCAAGTCAGTGCCTAAGCTAGGCTAGACCTTTTCTTACAATACATTAGCTCATACCAATAAAAGTACCCAAGCAACGTAGACTTAAGATCTGTACCAAACAAAACCATGAATTTGAGTCAAAAACAATTCGAGGATAGGAAACACAAGAAATAGACAAATAAATGATAGTACACTCCAAAGAAAGACTGGTAACAGAATCAATAGAGGGATAATCAGAAACATATGAGGTGCTTATAGAGGCATCACCATTAATTGAAGCATCCCATGAAAGTATGAAAAAACAGAGGTGGTACAAATGATAGAGGACGTAAAATGCTATTTCAGCAAAAATTATTTTACACGTATAGCGTATTGCAGAACATGCAAATCCTGATGATATACCGAAGGAACAGCAAATGATACAAGGCTTGAAGGGCAAGTTCACTTGAAAATCCTTTTCAATGTTGAACAGGAAAAAATTCTTCGAATCAAAGAAGCGAGAAAACTGAACGAGCACTGTATAGTAACAGTAACTTAAGACAACAAAAAAGTTTCGACTCTCAATGTCATCAGCATATTGGTCAAAACCCAAATTCTTGCCGCACAGCACAAGTACAGTATGGATTTCTCATATTTCAGCTGCCGCGAGAGCATCTCCTTGTTTATCATCCATTTATTTCCCTAATCTCCTTGTTTTATCATCCATTGTATTCCCCAACAACAATCACAGACCATCTCCCAGTCAATTGAACCATTTATGATCCCCAACAACATATTCAATATAGATTCCCAAAATTCTGACCAATCCCAGTAGACTGTATCCAACTTCATTTAAGCAATCAAATACATAGAAATGGCAGTCATAATGCAAAAAGCCAGAGGCAGCAATCTATCAACGGCATCAGACCCTATCAGTATCTTCGCCAAAAACTATGATCAATTATTCAAAAGCAGCACTTTTTTTTTGTCGCAAAATGATTAAAAAAATTAAAATAACAACTTCATATGTGCTTAATTGAAAAACATAAATAATTATTATTACAAAACACATTCGCCTGAATAATTTTTCGAAAAATAAAGTTGCATAAGAAATTACTTAAAAACACAATCCATTCATGAGAACGGCAATTCATGAGGCAATTCATGAGAACGGCAAAAGGATACGAGCTTACTGGTCTTGCATGTTGCATTGCTTTCCTTCTTGCCCTATGCCGATCATGCAATGAGCATTGAGGTTGGGTTGTACTAGCAAAAAACCCACTCAAAACCCTTGTAGCTTTCCATGAACAAGACAACACACTGCACTCAAATCTCCCATTCCCATCAGCTCGTACGAGTTTGCACAGATTCACACATTCCACAGGGACTACATTTGAGCAAGAATTCACCCAATTAATAAACCAAACTCATGACAGCAGCAAATTTGAGGCTGGAGAGAAGAACCCAAGAAAACTTAAAACTAATAAAGAAGAACCGAAGAAAACTTAAAACTAATAAAGAAGACCCAAAAAGAAAATGAACAAAAGAGGGAGAAAATAGTTTCCAAATACTGGATAATAGAATGCTCTGGTTTTGTATTGCTCACCTGACATGGAGAATGTCGAGGCCATACCTTATCCAAGAATTCGACATACCTTACAATCCGTAACATAATATAGCTGAAGCCGAACAGAGAAAAAATAACAAAATTAATAAGAATGCTTTCCGCCAAAGATTCAGTAGAGTTCTTATCGTTTCAACAAAAAAACAATCAGATAATTCAACAGAATCTGAATAAAGTCAGCAAATGCTTCAAAGAATTTATAAAAGAACAAATAAATATGAAATGATCAGACCCACCATTGGAGCAGTCATTGACTGGATTAAAACCTTTATAAAACGTTGAATTTACAGAATCAGTACCACTTTTTTTCTTTTTTGCTTTTTTTCACTAGAAACCGATAAAGTGGGAATTTCCAGGAGTTCAGCACAATGAAATACCCAGGTTACATAAATAAATGAAACTGAGAGTGAGACAGAAGAGAGACAGAGAGAGAGAGAGAGAGAGAGAGAGAAGAGAGAGAGAGATGAGAGAGAGAGAGAGAGAGAGAGAGAGAGTGAGGAGAGAGAGAGAGAGAGGATTAAGGGATTATCTTTTAATTGTAAAATAAAACAAGGGTGAGGAGAAAAGATAACGAGGAAGGGGGGAGAGAGCAGGGGTCGAGCGCAGGCCACACACCAATGGTAGATATTTTCCTTTTTGGGGTGAAATGTCTATAATTAAGCCATTTGAAATTGTATTTTATGCATAAGAAAGATACCCAAGTTATTCCCAATGGATCTACCCTAAAAAAAAAAAACCCAAGTATCAACAATTAATTTCACTTTTTTATTATTTTTCAATATTTGTTTTTCTCAAAAATTTTAAATTTTTTTTCCAGTTCTCCCAGCTGGATTACCGATCCATTTGTCTTGGACCGGTTTTTTCGACATCTCAAAATATTTTATTTTTAATTTTTTATATACAAATTGTACGACGATGAAATTTGGTACATGTCATCTTCTCATTGAAGCATGCATATAACAAATATTAAAAATAATTTTTTGATAAAATATAATGACCATAATACTTCTTGAATCTTTTAAAAGTATTTTAGTCATTTTATTTTATTAAAAATATTTTTTTTATTTTTCGTTAATACGAGTTTAATAGAGGATTGAACGTACAAAATTTAGTGTCAAAATAATTTATAGAAAAAATTAAAAATAACATAATGTAGAGACATGGCATTGTGATTTGGAACAATCTTAGCCGTCCATTCAGAATGGACAGTCGGATAAAAAGATGTATATAAGTTTTATGTTATGAGGGAAACAAAGAAAGTTTTCCTATATACAAAAGTTTGCGCAAACATACTAAAAAAAAAAAAAAATCAAATGTACCCAACCTATGAACTATTTAATATTTTATTATTTTTCAGAATTCAAACTCATAAATATTTTGATGGGATTTTTAAAATTAAATTAAAAATATAAAATGCGAAATGGTTCACGTATTTTTTTGTACATTTCTCAAGAAACTATTTGTAACACTAAAATCTTATTTGGTAACTGAGAAAACAAGAGAAAAATATTTGTTTTATCAAGGACCATGTTATCCCGTGATTCATAATAGAGGCGCATGGAAACTACAAGGTCACCATGCATTTCTCCACATTTCTACGATTTTCTTTTAGTTTGGGGAAAATTGCCGTCTCCCTTTTTAATCTTTCTTTGCCGAGGCTCTAGAGCGAAAAAGAAAAGTTTGACCCCTGCATTCCTCTTTTATTTCTCTACCCTCACGATCTCTCTCCCTTTTTAATCTTTTTTAGCTCAAGCTCTATACCGCAGTTTTTCGATTTTAACAGGCTAGCTTCTAGCCACAATTTTCTAATTCGACCTTTTTCTCACACTTGTAGCTTCTCATAAATTCTCGAAAAAAACAACTTTCTCAGTTACTAAACAGGTCAAAGTTCGCCCCTCCATGTGTATCCGCTTATGCATTAGTAGTGACTTTGTATCTCAAGTTGCTCCAGGATATCATCTAAAACTTTGCACAATTGCACACTTCTCATGAGCATGAGCACAAGAGAGTGGCCTCTTATGGCACTTGAGAAGTCCTCCATCCTTCCCTGTCCATGATTGCCTCTTGAACTGTCATAAAAAATGGCAGAGGTACATCTAGGAGGCTTACTCTTGATTAAGACGTGTGGTAGGGCTATTTTGGCAGCCCTACCCTTGCATGAGAAGTGTGATAGGGATATTTCTTCGAACTGAACCTAAAATTCTGCCACCACAAATTCGAAAAGTCCTTCCTGTACTTTGCCCGAGAGATGATAGTAGTCATACCGTGAGAGTGAGAGTCGGTTCGGGTATCTCAAAAAGTCACATTGCATTGTAACCATACAGGCCACGAAGCGTAGAGAAGGATTGGCATTCTTCAGAGTATGAGCCTATTTTTAGGAGTGGTGGGATTGGCACTGAGAGATGAGAGAGCCCCGGATGGGGCATTACCCCTTGTAGGTCAAAGAAACGTAACGCAACAAACCAAGTACTAGAAGGGCAATCCAAAAAGAGTTGATCGATTTGATTCTGTATCCTGCTTACAAGTAATGCAACTATTCATGATAAGTCTACATTTAAGATAACCAATAGTCAGAATTGCAAAGGACTGTCAAGAGAAAGGCTCAAGTTTTTTGAGACCTGTAAAGATCCATACAATATGAACCATAAAGTTTTTGAGGTACCATTGCCAAGGTCCAGTTATTAGACGTCGCTAATAAGTCAGTGATAGAACTTGAGTAAATCATACTTAATATCTGTCCTGGTCTCTCGGTTAACGTCATCGGATATGTCCATTCTGGGCCATCCTCTAACGCTACTACTAAGAAATTTGGTAAGGCCACAATTGCAAATAGCTTGAAGTGCATCAAACTGAGAAGACAGTCCAGTAAATGTCCTGCAATTTCCTACAAACATCCTCCTATAGCTAATGAACATGCAATTTCCTACAAGCATCCTCCTATAGCTAATGAACATGCAATTTCCTACAAACATCCTCCTATAGCTAATGAACATGGGCCAACATCTGTGTAATGCTCTCCACACCCCATCGACCTTTGCGGTACCGGCGTGTTATCGTACAAGTACGCTTTTGTCATCAATCCGCAAGTAGGATGGCTCTAGGATAGACATCCACCACAACATGGCAATTAGTAGCAGATTCATATCCCTTGACTTTCTAACATGATGTGATTCCTTTGGTCTGCAAATATCCTCCCATTTGACTAGGTGATACTTCATGTTCTCATCTAAATCCTCCCCACTAAAAGCGCTTCATAGGACCTTCAAAAGCCCCAAGAGACACTTGTTGGGCTGGGGAAATTCTACATAAAATAGATTGGGAAGTGTGTGAGGAAGACTTAATTAAGGTAAAAGACATTTACGCTTCCAATAATCAAGCTCCCTTTAGGAATGGACTCAAGACCAAGTGGTCAGCATGTCAATGTGCCACAACACGACTTCTTAAATTCAATTCCTATCACGGGTAGGAGACCCATCCCCACTGAACTACCCAAAAGAAAAAAGATGAGGATTCCTTTAAAAGTTATCAATGAGACAAGCTGAAAAATACCGGTAGCCCCAAATGCTTTAAAGCCCTTGTGTCGAACAGTTGACTAGTTGGTTATGCAGAAACAAGATGATGGGTTTGAAAACTAAAAAAGAAAAATGCCCAAGCCCTTTTTTTTTATTTTTTTCATTTATTAGGTCATTCAAGAGCTTGAGCTTTTTTCTTTCTTTCTTTTTCTTTCTTTTTTTTTTTTTTTTGGGAATGATAACTTGGACGTTGTCGAAATGGAATTCAAGATGTCACATTGTGGAATTTTAGCTTTGTGATAATTTTGAAAGCCACTACAAGAAATGTAGCCAAATAAATATGCAGAAACATCACATAAGTTTTAAATTTTCAATTATGAAATGGAAAAATTGGTTCTAAAATTTATGTCAGTTTATTATCAGTCATTTATTGGAGCGTCAAATTTCTAGCTGTAGAGCCCATACTTGCTGAATTTACAAAAAAAAAGCATTATAAAAATGGAAAAATTGTTTCTAAAATTTAAGTCAGTTTATTATCAGTCATGTATTTGGGCCTCGAATTTCTATGCTGTACAACCTATACTTGCTGAATTTACAAAAAAGTGCATCCAAGGCTGTGTTTATCTCGTCAAAACATTTAAGAATTAATATTAATTTATGAGCATCATCATAATTTTATGTAAAATCATCACCTCTTCGTGTTCCACTAAAAAATAGATTTGGAAATGGATGGCCAAAACAAGCTGCACATTCCTCCTGTTTGTTCAAATCTGATTTTTTTTTTGGGTAAGTTTGTTCAAATCTGTTGACTAGGAAAAAGGAGTGCTCTTTTTTCCTCTTACCTGTATCACGTGATGTGCACCTAAATCTGAAGTGTATAAATATTGAATGGACGGCTCACATGATTTCAATGAAAGAGTTGGATAACTTTATTGAAGATTGAAAAATCAAAGGCAAAAATTCAAAACTCATACGTAAGTTGGATGTTGCCTAAAACAAATGAAGCACATGAGATAGGCATCAGTGATTCAATGGCATTCTTTAGGACGATGCAGTAAATACGTTCTATAAGTGTTACTGTCTAAACAAAAATAAAAAATACGTTCTATAAGTGTCTGACTCACGTTCTATAAGCGTTCCTTTCAAAAAAGAAAAAAACAAAAATGTTATGTAAGGGTTTGACTCGGCCGAATCCACTCGGACTTAGTGAGGCAAGTTGGGGCCAAGTAAAACTAAAACATTAAAAAATCTAAGAAAAATAGAAATGACCAGCATATTGTTTATAAATGATTTTTTAGATTATTTTGATAGTTTTTAGGATGATTTGGTATCTTTTATATATTTTTTTTCTTTATTTTTTTGAAATTTTACTGATACAAATCAAAATTTTCAATAATCCATGATTTTATAGTTTTTTCCAACTTCCGTAGCCTTCTAACGATTTCTATAACTCTAAATACTTTTCCTATTTTAATTTTTTAATAATTTTTTGTATTTTTTGCATTCTAAAGGCATGTGCATAACTTGTCAAGTCCACTCGGATTCGGCCGAGTACCTTGGCCGAGGCAATTTCCATAACACTTAGTTCTATTTTAAAAAAGAAAAAATAGTGACATCAAGATTTAGGTTTTAATCCCAATTTTGTACATGCAATATCATTATAATTTAAGTTTTGGGAAAGCTTTCTATGTTCTCCTACTACATAGAAGTTCTATGTTCCCTTTATCCAACCGTCCATTTTTTAATGGAGGGCTAAGATTGCCCCAATCACAATGTCACGTCTCTATATTGTTTTATTTTTAATTTTTTTTCTATAAACTGTTTTGACACCAAAATTTAGATGTCCATTCCTATATTAAACTAGCACTAACAAAAAATATTTTCAATAAAATAAAATAACCAAAATACCACTAAAAGTTTCAAGGGGTATTTTAGTCATTATTTTTT